AGAGAGAGAGAGAGAGAGAGAGAGAGAGAGAGAGAGAGAGAGAGAGAAACAGATGTAATGAAAACATTAAACTATAAAATTCTTTAACAACCAGGGAATTGGTTGGAACAAGGTTTTCTGCCTAGAAGAGAAGATCCAGTGGATGAAACACGTTGGCTAATTTGTAGGCTATTGCGTGTCAAGATTTGCACTCCTTTGTGCTGTTTAAAACCAGTGTCTGCCTGCTCTCTTTTCTCTGTGATGCCTTATGATTGTGTCTGTGTACACTGTGCCCTGGAACGAACATAAGACATCACAAATAAGCATACATCACCCGATCCAGCAGATGTCACAGATCTTTTTAAACTGACAACAAAGGAACCCCAAAAAGACTCTTACCCTTTCTGATTGCTAATATCGGAGATATAAAATGGCCACTGTAGCATACCCTGAAAAAGCTTCTTTCCTGAGGCATTAGGCATCTGTACTTTCAGATAACAGCACTTTGACCTTCTATATATGGGATAAATGAAACAAACATCTGGATATCCACAAGACACAATGTTAAAACATACAGGAGAAGTACCTTCTTAGCTTCGAATCACCAACCCCTCCCCCCTGTATATTGTTTGCCTGCTTTTGCAAGATGACTACTAAGGATGAGTTGGGCTGTAGGCTCTGCCCAGATTTCAAACAGGGACCGCACAAAATTCTCCACTCAGAAAAAAATTAAAGGCAAAGTGGGAATTTAATTATTTCTCAACTATTCAACATACTTAAATATCAATGTGTTTTAAAGGAAAACACTTATTTTAACTCAATTAAAAACTTGCTATAAAATCAGCAAAGTTTTAATCTCCCACCTTCACTTTCTTCTGCAGTTGAGTGATGCTTTCTTCAACTGCTCATTTTTGGAGAGGATGGGGTTGAGGAGAAAGTAAGAGAACCCAGCGAAGTTGAATACACAGGACTCTAATTGTAAGCCATTTATTTCTAGCCTTATGATTCATCTTTGAGGAAAGCCACCATTTCCATACTCAAACCATGACAGACTGGGATATTATTTAGCAGATATCCTCTCACCCACAAGAGTTTCAGTTATGATCTTTGCCTGACCCGATGACCTTGAGACTGGCTGTATGACTGACATGCATGAATAAGCAGGCAGCAGGCAGAGGCTGCTGACCTTTTCACCATAAGGACACTTGCCCCCTGTTAGCTGCTGCCACTTAGACCTGGACTTAATTCCTAGACTGTGGTCATGCCAAGCCATTGGGAAGCACAGAGAAAAGACATCTAGCTGTGCCCAGTGTGGATCAGCAAAACTGAGGTTCATTAGCATAAAACCAAGACTTGGATAACTTCTTGTATAATCAGCTGCACTCAGGGGTAATTTGTTACACAGCATGCCATGACTTATCGCTAACTAAAAGATCCCAGTCTGTGTATTGAAAGGGCATTCCTAGTAACACTACAAGCATTCCATGTCTTTGATCAGAAAGTGCCCGAATGCCTACTATGTACTGCTTGTGCTGTGTTGTGAAGTGGAAATGATGAACTAAAACCAAACCTGTGGCCATGAAGACAAGACAACAGGCTTCTATCAGATGAATGCTACACATGAGTAGACTCTCAGACTTCCCTAAAAAATGGAGTGATACAGCTTCTCTGTTTGTTTACAGCTATACACTGCTGGTCTTATCAAAGGGTAGCTTTATCAGGACATGAATGCCAGAAACTCCCAGATTGCAGATGTGTTCTTTACAAAGCCTGACTTTTTACAGTGTGGTCTTTAGACACCATTTTCAACCCACTGAAGATTGTGGATAGTTGCACCAGCCTCCACTGGGGACATGTTTGGAATACAGATGCTAGTGTTATACCCATTCTAGAGCCATCAAAACAAAGAGCTGGGACTGACAGCTTGAGATCTATGCTGAAACAGCCCTCTGTAAAAGCCTAGTGCCCACTCAAGGATGAGAAGTGTTATCCTTGAACCCTTGAGTAACACACTTGGACTATTCTCTAGATAGGGCAAAGGCACGCTGAAAAAGTCTCCAAGCTCCGTATTCACAAGAAGAGGCCCATATTTTTAGAGGGTCCAGTAAGGATTTTCCTGGAGGTAAATTATATTTTGTTAGTGTATATATGAGCGTGCCTGTGGAGGCCAGATGACAACTTGCAGGAGTCAGTTCTCTCCTTCCGCTATGTGGGCCCCATGGACTGAATTCAGGTCATCAGGCTGGGCAGCAAGTACCTTCACTCACTGAATCATCTATCCAGCCCAGGGAGAGGAACTTTTAAGAGTCGAAAAAGAAGAGCCCTTTCTCACTGACTCGGTGTTATCTCCTCAGCAGCTCATTCAAAATCAGGCTAGAATGGAGGACATGTCCGGATGCTGTCTGTCCTTGAGTTGACCCGTCCCCTGGAGTGAAAGGAAAGAATCCATTTCTCTTGATGCCTTTCTCAAGAGACATTTTTGACATCGTGCTTTAAAAACAAAGAGCCTCTCCCATTCTGCCAAAATGCATTCAACTTGGCAGAGAGCGTGGCAGAAATGAAAAGTGGGGAAAGCCTTACTTTCAAACACCGATTCCATCAAGA